ACTTCTTGGCTTCAGTCACGCATAGTTAATAACTATGAGTCACGCGATCGCTGCTGACAACTCCCTMATACTATGTAACCTCAATATTTATGCTATAACTAGTCTTTAAAGCTAAAATGGAAACTTTATTGATGCTTGCAAAGTTCACAGAACATCTRTGCATTTTATAAACTTTTGACAATACTGGTCATCATTTCATATTGTAGGATTTCAAATGATAATTTCAACTTTTACCCCTCCTTTGACACACAGAAAACACAATACTTGYTTCAAGACATTGGTTATCATTTGTTCTTGTTTTACATCAAGATGMTGAAGTGTTCAACGTCTAATACTGAGTTTCAGAGGTTTATTGATGGTATAATCTCAAGGTGTCCGAGAGAATTCTTGATCCGAACATGAATACACCCATAGCCCTTTTCGGTCATTAACACGAGACATTCTCTCTGACAACCTGCTTCAAGTAGGTGTATCTCAATTAAAGCCATTCACTACAGAATGCATTAAACACAAACACAAAAAACTTCTTTTTACTTAGATTTAGATTCCGAATATTTACCTTACCTAGTTAGCTAAATATTATTTATCAAAATTATTTTCAACATTCTATCACCGTACCAAACAGCTGAAATGTATAAATCTACTTTCTTTCGGAGAGAAACATGTTTACATGTAAAGCTTTCTACTGTCTGTTTGTCTGAGGTATTGTCATTAGATGCTGAAAAGGTCTGTATACGCGGCTATTTGAACGGTTAGTGTCCCAGGGACTTCGACGTACTGCTGTCGACGTCGACCMGTCAGGGTGTGAGTGGACTGTGTTTTGGAGTTTGTTATTTTGATTGGTATCTTAGCTTGACCCATAAACGTATCGATCGTCCAGTTGTAGTCCCAGATCTGATAGATGAATATTAGAGAAAAGTACTGTTAGCATTKAGAGACGAATAAAAAAAAATATTTGAGGACTGAACCACTGGCATGCAAACCGTGGCATCATAGTTAATTAACTATGGTGGCATCATTTGATTGTCTCTTACCTGAATAAGAATCTGACTTTTCTGTGGCTGTCTTACATAAAACAATGCTCCTGTGTTCCACTTCGGTTCCAAGGTGTTCTTCTGAATAGGTGTTTTAACCTTTCGTCCCTCGCACGATATGGTAGCATAGGGATCTGGCGCTTGAAATCACAATCACAATTACAATCACAAGAATAAAATAGCAATGCATACGGCACACTTCACGGTTGTAACATTCTATTCCGTTCCAGATAAAAATTGAAACGCAAAGAATTTGAACATGAAAAGGCATGTACTACGCTAAATTAATAGCTATAATTCAAATATGATACTTACTAAGACTAGCTCCACCTTTCTGTAAACCAGTCGCACCTAGTAGGTAGATAGAAACGATGCAATGAGGCTGGCGACATTGTGGCAGACAACACCAGATCTTGCTGCCAACAGAATGGTCTTGGTCTAGAAACCTKGTGAMGAAGATGAATCACATCAWTACAATTGAAGCTGGAGTTGTGAGTAAATAGTTTTTTTTAATKTACATACATGGCCTTGGACCGTTTTTCGGTGAAGATTCTGACCAGGAAATTACCAGCGACGTTCGGTTCATACGTGGATGGTACTACGACATATCGACCTGGTGTCAGGTGAAGTCTACTCATCACTTCACGAGCGTTGATAAAGATAGAGTCTCCTGCTTTCTCAAACATCGAATGGACGCGATATTTACGGTTAAGTTCTACCTACAAACAAAAATGGCCACAACCAATACTTTCAGAAAAAACGCTATTAATAACGTCACCGATCGTGTTATAATTTGATCGACTTTGAATCGTGCAAAGAATACATGGTGTATGGTAGATATTAAGTTTGCATTTTCGACTTCACAACCGACAACATGTGACGCGCGCCGTTTGTGGTTTTTCAAAATCAATACCACCTTTCTGCTAGCTGTCACTTGCACTGAAGATGTTATTTATTATCACTATTAACACTTCGCAAATTAACTTCATCATAAACACCATTATGTACACTRACCCTCATTACAAAGAAACCTATCGTTAGGTTAGTAGCTCCTTTGTCTTTATCTCGTCGTCTGTCTTCTTGCATCAAAGCAACCATTGCTTGACCAGAGTCACCATCTTTGATAGTAAAAGCATACTGCAACACAGTTAACAATCCTCTATCATACAAAGCACAAGGGATTTAGCAGAAAACATAAGAATGACAAGAACGTTTTTCGCGTTTTCTCACTTGAAAAAACTTAAACGTTTGCTGGCGTCTTTGCTTGTAACTCACAATGAGATCAATGCAAAAGCAAAAACATAGAAACGTAACGCTTGAGACATGAAAGTGAAAAGCGAATTACTTACCTGGGGGTTCTTAAGAAAACTTTCCCTGTTTTGAACACATCCCCCTGCATTTTGTCCCGGCGTCCATTGGTAGGTGTGCTTGTAAACGTGCCATTGTTTGAATATATAATTGATGATTGAAGGGTTGATCACGTGACATAGAGTCGCATTAGTGAAGTGCGTGCAGAAATCTTCAAAAGACATCCTACAAGAGATGCATTTTGTGTTTTGTAAAGGTATTTACTTGYTAGYATGCAGAGTATGTCTTGGAATGYAGGCCGCCCTAAGTTTGGATGCCACGCAGCACCTTTGAGATGTTGCGAGTAAGAAAAYATTTTTAACCAAGACTTACAAGTCAGCGTTTCTCCTTTTAGCACTGACCTCAGTGATTCATGCAATGCGCGACCATGTTGCACGGTAATGTATCTTCTCAGAACGACTAAACTGTGATTCATATCGTTGGTTTTCTTACCAAAATTCACCGTCATTTTCAAACGTTATTCCCAGCTTTTGCCTGTCACTTGCTTTCAACTTGTTCCATTCATCAGATCTACAACAAAAAACATTATGATAAAGTTTATTATGTACATTCCTGCGTATAACATTATTTGATTCTCATTCTTCCGTGGTCTCCAACTGCAACATATCTTACCCATCACTCCACGCGCCGTTCCATTCTTTCTGACCCCAGGGATTTCGCAAACGAATCATAAAAAAATGTTGTTGGTTAAAAAGACTCAAAAGGCCATCTCCAATAGTAATCTGGAAAGAACCGAGTATTAGCTTTGATAAAATACGATACACAATGTACCTTAATACAGACAAAATTCAACCAGACAACTGACCTTTTTTACATCAGTTACACCATACGCGTGGCCTTTTACCAGACCAGTCTCCATCCTCTGTTCCATTTCATTACGATTGCTGATCTAAAACACATTAAGTAACTATCAAAAATATTGAATTCCATATTGTACTTCACTGAGCTCATTGCGTCTTGCAACTAAAGCGAATGCGAGTCTTTATATAACTGCATGAGTTCGAAGTACAAACTAAAAGAAGGGCGGTGTCCAGGGGGTGGAAATCAGTGGCGGATCCAGGATTTCTCAAAAGGAGGTTCCACTTTGTTTTCGCATTTTCCTAAAACGAACTTTTTTACTGTGCCTCTCAAACTGTAGCAAATGTAGTGTGAATGTATTGAATAAAAATTCATTTCACGATGCGTTTTTATTTTATTTCATTTATCATTTATTTTATTTTTTATTTTTATTTTGAACCCATGGACCCCCCCATCCCCGGATCCGCCACTGGAAATCATATTCTAACCTTAATAGATGCGCTCATTAAGGATTTATCCTTCATGCCTTTCTTCATTGTCTTAAAGAGCTGTGCTCTCTTCTCAGAATCATTAGCATAACCTCCTTCTCTAAGGTTGATAGATTCACCAACACCACCGGTAAAGTCAACGAGGGCATCCCCTGTGTTGCCTGCCTCTAAGGCTTCGTACGTACCTGCCAATCTGAAAATACACCAGGAAGTCGATGGTAATAAACAACTGTGTCGATGTTTCCAAAAATATTGCAGTCAAACAACGAGGTATAACAATACAGAACACTGTCCGAAACTGATCCTCCAAAAACCACCCGCCTACCGGTACTTTTTGCAGCTCAAACGTAAACATTTTAACCTAATTTTTCACCTCTTTTGATTTATGGGAATGTGATTTTTTTGTCTAAAACAAGCAAAATTATTCTGCAAAAAAGGTTTTGTCTTCATTGATAGCTTGGCATGTAAAAATACAGAAAGAAGGATAGAAGGGAACCTATACCTATTTTTTATTACTTTACACAGCACAAATGCCGTCTTGCCCCAAACATCAACACTAATGCAGTATAGTCAAAACACTGATCATACTTGGCGTAAGCCTTTTCAACCAATGCACTCCAAAACTCATTCTTTTCCTTGGAATGGATGTATACAAGCTGCCCATTGATGGTAGGCAGCATGTCATCAATAACAACTTCAGTCCACTTGCCCTGCCGGAAGAATCGAAAACGAAATATYCCCTTGTAATTGTCAGGATGTTGAGGGTCCCATTCTTGATGCTTGCTGTCAGGAATAACCTTAGGATTAATAAGAAATACATTACTTGTTGCTCAGTATTCGCAGTGTAAAGAAATGACGTTAGTGAGAAAACTAGAGAGACAGAAGGAATTGGAAGTGAAGTGTTTAGCAAATTAATAGGGACTAATTACTTTAAAAAAGAAATTGAGAAAGAGTTCTGTTAGTAGTAGTATATGATGCCATTGTGATCATTGTTATCATCAGCCTTTCACTGGTCCAGTCAGCATTGTTATCATAATTATTATCATTATATCATCAACATATCATACATGACTGTAGGAGCCTTATAGAATAATGAGTGTGATTACCTTTTCCAAAAGAGATGGTCTCAAAGCCAACGAAGAACAAGCAGCAACAAACCAGCAGTTTCCTAACTTGCCTTGTGTGACATCATGACTATCAGCACCATGAACAAACAGCTTGGGCTCAAGGGGTGAACAGATGTCCTGTCAATCAAACAATCAATTGGTCATCAATCTATCATCTGTTCAATCTATTAACTAATCAATCAATCTAATTCATTTAGCCAGCAGTAAATATCAAAATCAAGAGCCTTATATGGTCTTGCAAGTGACACAAATTAATTCTGTTTCCACTATTGAGAACATCTCTCACTATCCCTCATCAATGAAATATTATTTTGCTTTTGTAATGATATGATGACATAGTATCATAAATAATTTATCAGAAATAAATTGATATCAATAAAGTGGATTTTAATTAATTATTTGTTAAAATTCTAAAATGTCTTTACCTTAAAAAAAAATATTAGCAGAACAGAAAAGTTTGACACGTCAAACAGTATATTTAGACACTCTTGAAGATCTCTCAAGCTAAATTATATAATACATGTGTAATTTATAWTTTTGGAACCTTGAACAGCTTGGAGTACTTTGGCAGAAAATAATTTTATGCGCATATTTAATTATGTTATTTATTTTTTTCAAACGTCGAACGTCTTCAAATAGAGATGCGAAGGATATATAACATAATATAACTACATGATATAAGTAGCTTGTTAAGACATTTGAACTGTGTAAAACAAATGAAATCAGCAAACATGTCCCGAATACAAAGCAAGTCAAATAAATCTTTACAGCATAAATTCACCATAATTGGTCACGAATCAGKGGKTTATTTTCGGTTCTTGCAAAACTTTTTGAGTGTCGGCTTTATCATCAAAAAGCTTTACAGTATCTGTATCTGTAGAAAAGACAATTATTGAGTTTTCAAACTGCGAAGAGCTATATAATTTTGAGGTTATCAAATATACTATTGATATCTCYGCGTGTCGATCATTTGTTGTTCGAAAACCCATATGGACATCCAATAAAGTGCTGGAAATGTACAAACTCGAAAGAAGATTCATCATTCGATGTGTTCAATTAAAAGGAAGTAAATCTGTTTCATAATTCGTTTAGCAAATGTACTTTTTTTTACCTTCGGTCTTTTCCACTCAACACGCTCTGCTCCAGGCGTTCTACTGAAAAACATCGAGCGAGTTTCAGGCGGGAATTCATCATCGACAAATAGACTGCCTTCTCTCTCGCACTGAGCTTTAAGYTTTGAGTATCGCTGATCTTTATAATAGTAGAGGCGAACCATGGTAGAAAGGAGTGTGGAATGCAGTCAGAATGCACTAAAGCTACGCACTCATCCACGCGAAACGCAGGACACGTCTGAACCATTGATAACAAACCGGAAGCGATGCATACTAATGTAGCTTTGGTATACGATTTTAGTATTTCATTTGTGTTTATTTCATCTACTCTGTTTTTTCCATAAAATTCAGAATTCTCAATTAAATTAAAAATATCTTTAATTATTTGTATAGTATAAGTACGATTCTACACAGGGAATCCATCACAAGAATATATATTTTATCCTGAAGCTCCATTTCAAATTAAAAAACTAAATTCGCGCAAAATGTCTTGATGGATGCTTTACTAAAAGTCACTGTTAGACTAATAAGGGATATTTTAGATTTATGAAAGATTTCGTTTGGTTTTATTACTTCCGGTGAGCCTACAGTAATTCTTAATCAGCGGATTCCTGACAACGAGAAAAACATTCTTTGGAAAGAAAGCCGAAAGAAAATTCAAATATTTGAAGMARTTTTTCTCTGTATTTCACAATGCCAGGTACTTAAAAATCTTTAGAAACATCAGAGGAATATTTATGAAGTCTGTTTTGGTCGGTTCTGTTGAGTTTATGTCTGTTTTTTGGTAGATAAAGTCCGGTTAGCAAGTATACACGAAGCTGTACGGTACGGKGATGTACTAGAACTACAAGCCATGGTTCAACGAGGAGCTGGCATTAATGCATTGGATAGCAAGTTTAAATTTACACCACTACATTGGGCTGCACTTCATGGAACTCTAGAAGTATAGTAGACTTATAAACTTAGTACTTATATCTAATGCTAATTAAAGCTCTTATAAACTTTAATAGATTAAGCTTAATCATTTTAAATCTTGTTTTCAAAGTTTAGTTTTTGACCMTTTATATGATGTGCAGTTTACTAGTACCTGGTTGTTTCACAATGAGTTTATCCCTCTTTTCCTGGAATTATTATATACTCACTTAGCCATATTTGGTAGTGTTTACATTGGTTGCTATGGCATGGTGCTGATCATTCTGACAGGACACCAGAGGGATGGACCGCATCACACCTTGCTGCTATACRTGGACAAGATAATTGCATTCAGGTACTATATATATGTGCAAACAATGAGTATCTATAGTGCTGGTAGTGCATTAAAAATTGATTATAAAACATGTCATTTTGTTGTAGTCCCTTGCTGCAAATGGTGCTGATTTGAATGCAAAGGACAGTAGAGGTATTTAATAGAACAATGATGAACTTTAAGTTGCTAATWAMYWAWKRARRRKTTTTTTCATGTATAGGGTGTTGTCCTTCCCATTTGGCTGCCTCTCATGGCAACTCTTACACACTTCAATCCATCCTTAGACATGGAGTTGTAAGTTTTCTTTTTATGTGACAATATGTATATATCTGAGAACAAGGTTGGGTAATTATCTGTTTAGCTAGTGTGAGCTGTGGAAGTGTTTTCCTGATTTCTTGTTTTCACTACATAAAACACAGTTTCTCCAACTACATAGTAGCTGATGTTGTGTACCATATTTGTGTGATCATAAAAGAATCCTCTTTTATAGGATATAAATGCAACTGATAACATGGGGTGGACAGCTGTACACTGTGCTGCATTTCATGGTCGACTTGGATGTCTACAAGTAATGTTAATACCTTTTACAAATATTTAAAAAAAGCATTTATTTGTTATATTTCCAATATGATTACCTATCACTGTGTCAAAATCAGAAGGCTTAAATATAGTTTTGTGTCTCTAGTTGCTTCACAGATGGGGTGCAAGTTTAGATGAAGTAGATAATGCTGGTAACATAGCAGGTAATTGAGTCATAATCATTATTAGTTACAAGATGAACAGGTATTCATCAATGAATGTATTCTACAGCCCACCTGGCAGCAAGTGAGGGTCATCTTCCTTGCCTCAAATTCCTGGTCTGTTCTGGTACAAGTATTGATCACACCCTTAACGCTAGGAATGACCAGGTACTTTTTTGKTTTTTGATAGGAAAATTGACATTAAAAAAAATTTGAAAAGTCCATTATTGATTTTATATTTCAAGCTTTTTGTTTTGTTGTTTTAGGGAGAGACACCAAAGAACTTGTGTCAGCAGTTTTACAAGAATGAATGCATGGAATACTTGAAGGCAGTTGGTAAAGAACATTATATCGTATGATTATGTAATGGAGTATCAATTACATGTATTACAGTCTCAAACATGGGGGGATCCAGGGAGGGATGCAAGGAGGAGCACTGCCGACATATGACCAAACCAATTAGTGTGGCATGCACACTGTAAAAATGATCACAAATGGATTTTTCCTGCTGCCACTATGTTGAAATATTCTATGTGAATGTATGAATATTAAAATGTGCTGATTGYCTCCTTTCAGAATATGACTTACTCCATCCTGAAGATGAAGAAAGTGAGTGTCTTCTTTACATGAACTATAATACCCCTGTTAATGGACTTGTGGGTATCAAGTCAATACACCAAGGGTCACCCTTTATTAACTAAACAGGACTTTTTCAATCCTTTCACAAATTCCTTCAGATCTTTTACATGATTTGTGGGATGGATTTTTTGTAGTAAATRAAATTAGGAACAACAACACTTACAAATMTTTTTCTAACCTGAATTAATCATGTAGCATCATTTGTGTTTTCAGACCTTGCATTTCCTGCCCATGTATCAGCCTACAACGGTGACTTGCCACAGCTTAAGATGCTTATTGAGACAGGAGTAGTGTCAATCAATGAAAGGGATGGCAAGGGTTCAACTCCTGCACACAAAGGTAAGAATGGGTCGCCTGTGATTGTTAGCCACAGGAAGCCCAGGTAACTTGATTTATCTTATTTCAGCTGCCGGCAATGGACATGTCCAGCTTTTACAATGGCTTATTGAAAATGGAGCAAATAGTAAGTTATAACATTGTTTATAAAAAGAGCATTASTTGTAGATTCAGAAGCCTTAGTGAAATAAAGTAGAAACTATGGATATATTTATTATATTTTACTTTATGCATTTTCCAGTGATGATAGTGAATTCAGCAGGGGAGACACCAAAAGATGTTGCTCGCCGTTTTGGGCGGCTTGGTTGCCTAGCAATCCTTGGTGGTGATTCAGGTAGGTTTGATGTAAGATTGTTATCARTAATATTGGAAAAGAAATCTTGAAAAACATAAAAGCATAGGTATACATTCCTTCAATGAAAAACACAGATCAAGAGGACAATAACATGGTGGATGAAGGAGCAGAAGATTTCCAGCCAGCTGAACCACAGTCTAAAGCTGAAGCAAGAGGTAAGGTCTTTACAACAGGCATATTTTCACAAAGAATASTCTATTCTACTGTAATTTTTCAATCTCTTTTTCTTTTCTTCCACTTTGCTAAAATGATTTAACTTCCTAGTTCACCTGTCACTAACATTCTGTCCCTGTTCTATTTTCAATTATTTTCATTAGGAACAGACAAGCAAACTTCTTGCAAAAAAGCCAAATATACAATATGCATGGCATTCAATAATTTGAATCCCACTATAGATTATCCTTATCCAATGTCACTACTTCTTCTCAAAATCTCTTCTTTCTCTGCCATTCTTTCTTGCTCAGCTTACTTTCTCAGTCAAGATGATTCTTCTGTCTTTCCCCATGCTTCTCCTGATGTCCAAGAATATGATATCAATGATATCAGCTACAAACAACATCAACAACATGAAGCTAGAGGTACACAGCAGCATCATGCCAAATATGGACTTATTGTCCATTYACRTACTTGATACCAAACCTGGCTTATATTGCAAACCACCTTCTATGGTGGTTGAATACCCGAATGTTTTTCAAATCTGCCAAATGCGGTTTAGTGTGSAAAAACGCTAATAAAACTKCACAAATGYCTTRATTAAAATCTTTTATTCTTCCTTTWATCCTGTGTTGGYATCTTTMTAAGTGTCTTTTGGTTAGARAAAGTGTGATAAACGATATTTATAGAAAAAGTATCAAAGAATAGTTGCTATAAAAAAATAMCTACTGAAAGTCTGATGCAMGACACGAGCGCACTTKTGGTAGCTGAATAGAYGGCGCTACATAGCTAATGATATATTTTGTGTACTTGAGTCATGCGTTGTCTTTTCATTTTAGGTCGAGCCATGCGTAAAATCGAAGAGTTGGTACATCTTCTTGACGTAGCGAAAATGAACTACAGACAACTTGGTGGTGTTTTAGACGAAGACCAGAAAAAACTTGAAGAGGAAAAAGAAAGTGCTAGGTGATTCTTGTTGTTAGTGATGACATTGCATTGATTTCTTCATTGATATATTCATATTCCATCATTTTGTTATCAATCTCTGTTATCTCTGTTAATCATCCCATTATCACAACGTTATGCCTTTCAGGATCATACGTGAACTCGAAGCCCAGCTAGAGTACGAGCGAGAAAAGCGAGAAAGACTTGAAGCACAAATGGATCGCTTACGAGCACAAATACATACTTTAACTTTACAACTTGAAGACGAAAGATCCTTATATCGTAGTGTGGTCAGTCATGTTTATGCTCAGTTTATTTTTCCAGTATACTGTACTTATCGTATTTTCATTTTTAGTCGGATACTAGAGTGACTTCCAAGACTTCTAGTCAACCACAGCAGTCCATGCTCAGACGAAAGAAAAAGAAATCTAAAAAGATTGATACAACGTCAAGCGGTGTTTTTGTACGTAGGGGCGTATCAAGTCCAAACCCTCTGCACTGTCTCGACAAGGATTGATATATATGTGTGGACTGAAACCAAGCCCATGCATTAGCACGTATAAGTCAACCGTATTTATGAGCTTTTTATGTCCCTACTCTCTGCAATGTCTCGACAAGGATTGGCCGATGAGGACTGAAACCACGCCGAAGATTTCAGCATGAATGTAGTCAACAGTACTTACATCAATCGTTGTTTTATGTAGAGGCGGAAGTCCAAATTCTATGGACCGTCTCGCTCCGGACTACGCCATGTGAACATGTATATAGTGAATAATATTTATATTTATCGTGAGTGTTTTGTACGCCGAGGTACTGTCCCGTATAAACCCTTGTCAGTGTTCTTCGATATCAACCACGGCTTCAGTTTTGAAATATGTACATAGTAAAATCAAAATGATAAAATATCATCAGATATGATATCCGAATAATTAACAAATTTCAAGATTTACAAAATTTATGATTTTGACCTCTTAGAGGTAGACTGTTCAGTAGACTTGCTGTTATTGGTTTTCTTAGAACGTTTTCGAGAAGCCTCCAACTGTCTTTGACCCTGTGGGGAAAATTTACACAATCATCAATAGCTGTGACAAACATTGGAAAAGATTTGACAAAAAATGGAATACCTGGGCGCTTCCCTGTACAACTTTAGGTTTATCTCCCTCCATGTTGGCTAAGTTCACATCGGCTCCATGTTGACTGAGAAGTCTAATCATTTCGTGCATATGACGACCTGCGGCTGTATGTAAAGGTGTATTACCCGAATATGTTGTGGCATTAGCACTTGCACCACGTGCTAGGAAGTACTCGACCACGTGATATTTTCCCKCCTCCACCGCGTGGTGTAGTGGCGTGCGACCGCTACTTGTGTCCTGGAATGCAAATAGCTCCTTAAAGCACGAATGTCAACTGTTAGAAATTGACTTGACAATTACCTTATTATTAATGTTTGCCCCTTGGTCTATGATAAGGCCAATAAGTTCTCGATTGCCTGTCATGGTAGCTAGGTGAAGAGGAGAAAGACCTAACAGACAAAATGCATTTCAAATATACTTAATATATGTCTAAATCCTAACGCAGTTAGTCGCAGATTTTCTAAAGACATCACTAGTAGGTGTTAGGAAAGGGTGCACTCGAAAGTGCTCCATTAGAATTCGTCCTACTTCTAGAATAACGTTAGTACGATAATTACTGCAAAACTAGTATGCGTCATGTACATCACAACCGAAAGACAATAGCATCCTCGAATTAATTACCTTYAAAATTTTTCACGTCCAACCTGATGCTTCTTTGGTTCGTTGAGGCGCTTTCAAAGATAGCATGTGCACTACCCACGTCACTTCGCTGACAAGCTAAATGGAGAGGAGTTTGACCATTTCGGTCCATAGCGTTTACGTCACATCCGGCCTTGATTAGTTGTCCAATGAGATTTGTTTGTTCCGTTATAACGGCCAGATGAAGAGGAGTCTAGGATCGTACAAAATCAAATGAGCGTTGCTTTTGAGTGATGAGTAGAACGGTACCATACATAATGCATGACATGTAAAACTGAACGAAACTCCAGCTTATATTGGGAAAGCAAAACAAATGACACTTTAACACTAAAGGAGGATTGTCTTTTGGAAATCTAGATGCGTACAACATCATCTTTATTATGACAGTGGACTGGACGCTAGAACGTTGTGTAATAATCAATATGTACCTGTCTCAAGTTGTTGAAAATATCAAGTGTCGTTGTTTTCATAGCTTGAATGAGATAATTAACCAGACCTTCGTTGCACTGTACGACCGCTATATGCAAATACCTGTTGACATATATAGTGAATTAATCAGTCTTGCTTTGATACAAAGGTGCGGCTATKCGTATGATGCGGTGTATTCATATGACGTCACATGGCATCAAATAACTGTATAACGCATCATGAGGAAACCGGAAAAATCATTTTCTTTCTCTTTGTGCTTTCTGTCTTTTATCAGTTTCAACTGATTATGTTAAGTCTAAGAGTCTTCACACTGTATCAACTGTCCGATTTTCTATTTTAGTGTAACTTGTTAACAACAATTGAAAGATGGGCACAAGCACCCTTTTACCGTGCTCCCCTGCACTAAAATATATCCCTGTTTAAGCTTAAAGTAGTAAGCGTTGCTTTCGAGAGCAGAACTAGAAGCATTAGAAAACGAAAGACGCGAAAATGATGTGTCTGTTTGCGTCTGCTTTTTAGTTTGAAAGGGTTATGTGCAAAGACGACCTTCGCGGTATAGTACCTTGTGAGTAGCATTTCAATTTTCACTCATGCCTTTAGTTATTGCTAGTTGCAGCAACGTTATGTTGTTTAACTTATMAAAAAAAACAAGATGCCCATATTTCTTTCAGTTCGTCTTTTTTTGAAATCCTTGTTGAACGACTGTGTATAAGCTTTTTACATCATTCGCGATGGCAACTGTATGACGTAATAACTATACTTGGATAGACGTATGCTGAACCAGAGTTCAACTTCACCTCCGTGGTTTTAGTCATTGTTATTGAGTATGAAAATAAAATATAATAATTCATTGCGATAGAACCTTTGACTACGACGACTTCCACGAGAAAAAAAACATGACACTAATTTTCAAGGCATGTTATCATGGCAACGCAAGGTAAATGCCTTTTTTGTCCAACGATTCATAAAATTCATATGAAAGTAAAGTTGATATCCTATTTGAGTTGGACTGTTGCTAAGAAAATCAAATATTAGATAAAATTRCATATAGTACTGGGTGAACTTCCGCTTAGCTTGCCCTAGAACAGGCTTACTTAAATGAACGAACTTACGTCACTGCCAGATTCAAACCACTTTAATATGATGGTTCTTTTAAGAATAATGCTAGATTTCCTACTGATTGCTAGTAAATAAATAACCAAAACTGATCATAATTCATACACTTACGTATCGCCATCTTCATCTTGTAAGAAAAAATCAGGCATTGCATTGGTTCCTTGTTTTACTGCCCTCTCTTGACTAATATCCTCCCCAATCCTCCCCCCAGAGGAATCAATCTGYAAATTGACGTCATTGTTCCTCTGCTCACTTGATTTCTCTTCAGACTGATCAAATGTGTTTTCGCAATGTTTCTTTTCGATAATTGTTTCYATATTTTCGCGTGTTGATTCATCTTCGTTTTGTTTATCGTGAGAAATGTCACTTTGAGTTTCAGTTTTCTTCTTTTTGACTGAGGACGCCGAGGTATTTTTCTTCAGTCTTGAGCTACCTGTAACACAACGCTTGCTTCTTCTCATTGTCTTGGCGTGACCATCTGTGACGAAAGCGGACGGCACTAAATCCAACAAAATCATATACGTTTTTCACTGAAGAAAAGCTCCCAGAAGAATTGTTAGGTAAATGGATCAATCTACCGAGGAAAAACGTAGAAGCTGTTATAAAAATCAACAACATAACCAATGTACAACGTTTGTAGACAACTTGAAAACATTTGAAGATGTCGCCGGATTCGAACAAGAAAATCTTCGCTCATTCATCAAGATGCCAATCGCTTGTTGTCAATCTTCTTCACTATGCTAATCTGGTTCCTCCTAAAGAATCTCTGTAGGAGTTTCCTAAGGGAAACTAAACAAACTTAAACTTGAAGAGAAAAGCATAAAGATGGAGGTTTACTGGGTGTACATAAGGGCCAAGGAAGCCTTCCTCAAGCTTTCTTGTCCGCCTCATGATTGGTTGATTAGGAGTTAGTTTGTTATCGTCAGCCAATCACCACTCGACTTRGGATTCATGTCATGAGAAAAGAAAGGGGTTTCCCCGAATTTGTTTACAAAAAATAATACAAAAAAATTCAAATACTGAAATTGACCTCAAGGAAGCTACAGAGACTTCTGTGTCTCTCTTTTCTCGGTGTAAACTTATCTCTTAGCGCTTCGCGTCGAAGAAGAGATATTTTTGCACAGAGAAGAAATAGACACAAAGAATCCTCTGGAACCAGGGTACAAAAGCGACTGCAGTAACAGCAGATTAACGTTCTTATGCTAGTCCCCAAKCACCAAAGTATGTTGTTTCTTAAATATTAGACGTTTTTCCAGGCAGCGTTTTTGCGTGTTATCTCACCCAGAATATTCAGTTCCCCAATAAGCTCGTAAATAATGGACTGAATCGATTTTGACTTGAGTGTTACAAAAATTTATTTGCTGACTCTAATCGTAAATAATGATAATAATCCAATACTTWAAAAAAATGTAGATTACATGTGAATATGATCAAATGCGCCTGCACAGTAGGCAAACTTTGCTAAAGCTACAAAGCTAAAAACGATACATGGACATTTMCAATATTGGTAGAACATCTCGRTGAATTGTTATCTATTTCTAGCGTCCCACTAAACATTTTAGGAAAATTGGCTTCGACAAGAAAAARAAGTAGGTTCTAGGTCGTGCACACTGTCTAGTTCATCAACTGAGTTCTTCGAGGGAAATTGGCTTTGACAAGAAACATCTTCAGCTAGTGCTAGGCAAAAAGTATGTTCTAGGTCGGGCACGCTGTCTAGTTCATCATTCTTCGTGGWAAATCTCTTTACAAACGCTATAAAAAAATCGATATAAATAATATTGGCGGACGTATATGGTGTGTGCGAATCCTACAATTCATATTTTATAGTCACGTCAGTTTCCTACCGAAGTGACGTCACTACAAATCTAGTGGAAACACGGATTCGATTGACCACACTACATTGACTACACTACATTTTCAACAAKCTTAAAATAAAGAAATATTTCATTTTTGTTCAGATGCAAAGTTGAAAAATTGTCCAATTGATTTGAGCAAATATGGTTAACACTCTCTTGCCTGCATTGACACTGAACGCAGCCTTCATTATGTTCAACAGGGTGAATACGTCCATTGCGCTCTTGACGGGCAGGGATTTCTGTAGACGTCTAAGTTTGCAAAGATGTACATCAGAATTGACAGAAAAAAAAGTAAAGATTTCTGAATAAATATCGTAAACATCTGTCATTTTGGTCCAAAATGTTATCGGTTCCTTTCATAATAATGTTTTTGCTATAGATAATACTTTGGTCTATACATTTATGACCAAGGTCTGTCAAGTTTCATCATTTCATTCGATCTGACACTTGGCACCGCGAAGTGACGTCACCGTGGTGAAATAGCGCAGTGGTAGGGGACCACAGGGAGCCCAAGCAAGTCACAAGTCACTCTCGATACATAGGGAGTGGAGATTWTTTTTAACCCATTTATAATGCTTCATAAATTAAATAAAATAAAAGCTATATACTTTGAGCGTAATTTTTTTCCCATTGCTTGGGCTCCCTGTGATCCGGTTAGCTGCAAGAGTCTGGAACTAACAACAGCTTCCACGTCTTTCAATAGGATTTGCTCGATTTGCGTCTGCCATAAAAACAGAGTTTAGACTGTGTGATCACAGTAAATGATGAAAGTTGATCTACTTGACAGAACGTAAAAGCAATGGATGGGTCACAAAATTCACAAGCCTCGATGAACGACGATGATGTTCAAGTTAATGGCGGTGGTCAACAACAGCCACAACARTCTCAGAAAATTCTCCAAAATACAACTCCTGCTTTTATCCAACATTGTGTTTATCTCGGTAACTTTTAGTACAATCTGACTTTTATACTTGATATCTTCACAACACTGAGTTAATTCTAATATAATTTGTGTTTAAAGATGTAAAGAAGATGCAAGCTTCTTAATTCTTAAGTTACATTTTTTTAATGCAAGTTTAGATAAGATTTAAAAAGTTTATATTTAAGCYTATCAGGAGTACTCGTTTGGCGATATTAATTAATTACTTTATTATAGCTTTATTATATATCAAGGGTGTTTACCATTTACACAAAATTTCCGGAAATTTTCGGTTCAGTGACCACAATTGTCACGTGAATTTCCGGTAAACTTTGGTGCTGGTCAAAGAGTACTCCCTTTCCTCCCGTTCATTCGCTTCGGTAAACATCAGCGGTCTCGGGACCACAAAACATACTGTTTCCCTCGGTTCCAGTAAATAAAGTGTTAAATAATAACTTTTTTGCAGTGGTTGGTATTTTTGAGAAATATGGATGGTTTATATTGATTGGAGTGATTGSCTTGGTCTACCTGTGGAATAAGTTCAAACCACAAATAACTAGAATCATCAAGAAATGGCAACATCATCAAGACATGAAATCATATGGTAGGTG